GGCGGGTCCGGGCTGGGGATTCGAACCCGCCACCTTAGGTGTACGTGGCTGGCGCCTTAGCCGGTTGAGCTATAGGTGCCGAGCCGAAAGTCTCATTCTTCATGACTAGATTTCCTCCAAATAGTTTTCCCCTCACTTTATGTTAATCAATATTTGTGATCAATATCTATATCTATGTCTCTCTCTATATTTTTTGAGACAGAGTCTCACTTTGTCACCCTAGGTGAAGTGCTGTGGCATCCCAGCTCACAGCAACCTGAAACTCTTGGGCTCAAGCGATTCTCTTCTCAGCCTCCCGAGTAGCTAAGACTACAGGCACCTGCCACAATGCCTGGCTAGTTTTTAGAGACAGGGTCTCACTGTTGCTCAGGGTAGTCTCAAACCCCTGAGCTTAGGCAGTCCACCCGCCTTGGCCTCTCAGAGTGCTAGGATTACAGGTGTGAGCCACCACACCTGGCCTTTATTTTATTTATTTATTTTTTTTTTTTTTTTTGGAGATAGAGCCTCAAGCTGTCACCATGGGTAGAATGTTAATAGCATCACAGCTCACAGCAACCTCCAACTCCTGGGCTCAAGTGAGTCTCCTGCCTCCCAAGTAGCTGGGACTACAGGTGCCCGCCAGAATGCCTGGCTATTTTTTGGTTGCAGCCATCATTGTTTGGTGGGCCCAGGCTGGATTTGAACCCGCCAGCTCAGGTGTATGTGGCTGGTGCCTTAGTCCCGCTTGAGCAACAGGTGCTGAGCCTAATTTATATTTTTTGATAAGCATTTTCTGATCATCCTCTTGCATCACCTGCTGCCACTACTCTACTGCTTTTTCCTTGTATCTTTTTTCTCTTTTAAAAACCTGTGGTAAATTATCTGTAACAGAAAATTTTTCTTAAATCATTTTTCTGTAACAGAAAATTTTTCTTAAATCATTTTTAAGTGCACAGTTCATTGGTACTTATTACATTCATAGTGTTGTGCAACTGTCACTACTGTCTCTTTCCAAAACTTTCACTGCTCCCAATAAGAAACTTATTACCACTAAGCAATATCTTTATTCCCTCTTTCACCTGACCCTTGGTGACTTCTAATCTACTTTCTATCTTTATAAATTTGCCTATTGTAGATAGTCCATATAAATAGAATTGTACAATATTTGACCTTCGATGTCTGGTTTACTTCACTTAGCATATATCTTCAGAGTTTATCCATGTTAATGCATATATCAGAATATCATTCCTTTTGTGGCTGAGCAGTATTTGATTAATGAATATATCTTACATATATTCATTTATCTATTGAGGGACCCTGGGTTGTTTCCACCTCTTTGTTAGTGTGAATAAAGCTGAAATGAACACTGGTGTATAAGTATCTCTTTGAGTCCATCTTTTGATTTTGTTTTTTTGGTATATACCTAGGAGTGGAATTCCTGAATCATAAGGTAATTCTATGTTAAGCTTTTTGAGGAACTGCCAGACTTTTACACAGCAGCTTTACCATTTTATATTCCCACTGGTAACATAATCAAAGTTGTGATTTCTCCAAATCCTTGCCAACACATATTTTCCATTTCTTTTATTATAGCTATCCTACTAGGTATGAAGTGCTATGTCACTGAGGTTTTGCTTTGCATTCCCTAGTGACTAGTGATGTTGGCCATCTTTTCATGTATTTATTGGTCATTTACATATCTTCTTTGGAGAAATGTGTATTCAGGTCCTTTGCCTATTTTAAAAACTGGTTTATCTTTTTGTTCATGAGTTGTGAAAGATCTTTATATGTTCTGGGTAGTAGATTTTTATCAGATATATGGCTTGCAAATATTTTCTCCCATTCTGTAGGTTGTCTTTTCACTTTCTTCATAATGTCCTTTGGTGCATAAAAGTTTTAAATTTTGATGAAGTCTACTTTGCCTAGTTTTTTTGTTGCTCATGCTTTTTTGATACTTGAGTAACAGAACCATTAACAGATTTATCAGCTGTTAGGTGATATACCCGCTGGTGATCACATGTTAGGGCGTGGCCTGCTTATCTGGTTGGTCTAGGATCAACAAAAAATAACCATATTAGTTGCCACTATGTACCTAATATAGGCTAGGTATGTGATTTCGGGAAGTCTGAGAAAAGTGAATTTTAAGACAAAAAGGCTCATAATTTTATTGTTGCAAGGTAAATTCCACTAAAACCCTATAACTTTCCAAAGATGTTAGACGATACAGCCTTTTCCATCATTTTTCTAGAAGAAATTTAAGGCAGAACTACTACTACTGTGCTTGCTGCACTGCCTGGCATTTGCCTGGGACCCTAGGTTCCCAGTTTCTGGATTTCATTGACTTACTTTCTTAACTAGCTTTTTATATTACTTGCCTAGTCCACAGTAATGGAGTTATTAAGAAACTTAAGGTAAATGGGTTACTTAGAGAGAGACTGTCATTTTGAACCAGATTGTAAATCTGTTGCACGAGAAAATGATGACTTGCCCCACATCTGCAACTCTGAAATGCCTTTTTGGGAATTCCATATGTGATTAAAATACAGATTTCTTCCTGTTTGTGGTATGAGGGCCTATGTTTTTTCCTGGATAACCCTTTTTGTCTTGGGTTCATCTTTTCCCCTCAAACTACAAAAGCACTAATAAGTGCTTTATTCATGTTTAATATGTTTTATTCTGATTTTTTTTCCTTAGCGGACCTGAAAAGAACGATTGCTGTCCTTCTGGATGATATTTTGCAGCGCTTGGTGAAGTTGGAAAACAAAGTCGACTATATTGTTGTGAATGGCTCAGCAACCAACAGTACCAATGGGACTAGTGGGAATTTGGTGCCAGTAACTGCAAATAAAAGAATAAATGCGTCAGGCAGCATCAGATAGCAGTTGGAAGATCACCTGTGCTGCTCCATCCGCTGTGGATTGTATCCTATGGCAGAAAAGCTTTTTAATCGATGGCTAGGACAGCTTTACAATACAAGCTGTACATGCTTTCAAGGAATATGCTGGATTTGTGGAACTCTAATTCTGTATATAAAATTTTAAAAGTAATTAGTTTGCTTTCAGGCGAGTCTCTTCAAAACTGTACTGTACCTTAAAGGGAATTTGGTAACATGGTTGACATAGTGAGCAGATCGATGATTTTGTTTAAATCTATTGTGTTTTGAGATAAAGCTGAAACAAAAACACTAAGAGACATGGATTCATTTCAGTAAAATATTTATTTAAGTATGTAACGCGTTTTTCAGATAAGTGAAGAATATTGTTTGATCATCTCTGTTATTTGTTCTCAGTAGATATAATTGTTAGATAAAGCCTATTAGAAAATGTGCTTACTTCTAGTACTATGTTTTGTTAGTTTATGAGCAGAGGAATGAAATATAATGTTGAAAATAATGAATTGAAACCGTGACCCAAAGAATGTGTTCATTTGCACTATCCTTCACAATAACTGAAGGTTTAATTATTGTATATTAAAAAAAATTGCATTTGTAATCATATAATCTTTCTGAAGTGGGTAGCAGCCACTGTGTGTAACCTATTCCAAATACTGGGGCAGTTTATTAACATTAAAATAGTAGTAAACAATAATCTTATACTTAAAATTTTCTTATATTCTGAAGAGTAAAAGATATTTTTATGATGAGATTAAAAATAAAGTATTCATGATTTTTCACTTAAGTGAATGTTAAAAGTTTAATCCCTCAAGTATCTGTGCTATCAAGAAAGCACATTATTTCCATATTTAGGTAGTTTTTGCTTTTATTGTGTTGGTGAGGGAGGAAGGGACTCTTTGGCCAGATGTACATATTAAGGGTACTTGTGTTACAATAAGTTGCTTGGAAAATATTAACATTATATTGTATAAGAATATCCTGCTTTATGAAATTTTGGATTTGTATAACATACATTAGAGAGTCATTTTATATAATGACCACTTAATTAAGAACATTTAAAATATAAATTATGAAGATTGACTATCTTTTCAAGAAAAAAAAGCTGCTGTATATATATAAGAAATTATGATCTTGGATAATTCTAGTATAGAATAAAGTACACCTTTATTTAAATTTCCCTTTTAGCAGATCTAATGGCCATATGGTGCCCTGTATGTCACAGTATTTATTCTCTATAATAACTGCTTAAGTGCAGCTAGCTTCTAGATTCAGAATATATTGGATTTAGTTTTGGATATTGTATTGTTCATTATTATATAATATGCTACCATAAGTAGCAATAAGTGTAATATTTTATTAAAATAAGTATGTGAAAATACTATTTCATGAAAGATAAATTTCCAAACTCTGTTCTCTGTACTTTACCTTTATGTGAAGAAATTAATTATATACCATTGCCAGGTGAAGCTTGGAATAGTGTTCAGTCTCTTTTATCAGATGTAGACATTTTTGGTTTTTGTTTTCAGGGATGAAATAAAATATATCATTTGTATTTATGTAGTATTTTTTTCTTTCACAATAGTTGTGTATTTAATAAATGACAAATGATTGAAAGGAATCTTATGATAATTTGGGGGTTTGTTTCATTGATTCCCAGATAGCTTTTTCAAAAAAGAAAAATTTAAGGTTACCCAGTAGTACCTCTTATTAGATGCCTATGACTGGAGAGTCTAAGGGCAGAGATAGGTGAGAACAAGTCTGGAGATTGCGATTGGAGGTAGTTCCTAAGTTTATACCCTCAAGCTGAAGTTTACTAGTCTTAATCATACTTAATTGGGACAATAATACAGATGTTATCACTAAAGGCACTAAAAACTTTCAAATTTCTATTAGGGTATCTTTGGTTTACTTTGAACAGACACACCTACTGATTAAAAATAATTTAAACATCATTAGTACTTAATGATAACCTGGGTCTAATTAGTTTTTAAGAAACACTTAAGACCCTGACTCTGGAATTAGGTACACTATAGAGACTCAAGTCTGCCTTTTTTAGTGACATACCATTTTCTTTTGAATTTATAGACTCTGCCTCATCTCATGTAATTATATCTTGGAAGCCTAAAATGTTTGCAGTTCACATAGAAACTTCTGACTTACAGATTAGGTTTAAATGTAAACAAGGTCTTACTTTTAACACTTTGAACTGAATAGCTATTAATGTAGTTACATTGTTTTCTCTTTCTTTATAGAAAGAGCTATGTGAAAATGAGGCATGATATAATGAAGTAGACCCCCTCTCCCCAAAAAAACACTAATTGAAGCAATTTTTTCATAATGGAAACCCTTGAAGGATTCTTAAGAACTTTTGCTTAGGAGAATGGTAGGGCTCATCCTTTGAGATGAAAATAAGAATACATGAGGATATAACGAAGTAAAATAGGAAAAATCTGAAATCTTTCTACTCAAGGATAAATCCTGTTGATATTTTAGCATATAAATATGAATCTGCTCTCCCCTCTCCACACTTTTATGACTTCCATTTCCATTTAAAATCCAGAGTTCTCACCATGGCCATCAAACCTCTTGTTAGTGGATGCCTCCTAACCTCATTTCTTACCACTTGTCTTCTTCCTAATTCCTATTCAGTCATATTGACTTTTCCTTCCAAGGACATACCGAACATGTTTTTATCTCAGCAGCCTCAAATTTGATATTGATATTCCTCTACCTGCAACTCTCACCCCAGATGACTTCACGGTTCCAACTCAAACATCATTCAGGTATTCATCAAATGTTACTTCTTGGCTCGGTGCCTATAGCTCAACCGGCTGAGGCGCCAGCCACGTACACCTAAGGTGGCGGGTTCGAATCCCCAGCCAGGACCCGCCAAACAACAATGACGGCTGCAACCAAAAAATAGCCAGGCCTTGTGGCGGGCGCCTGTGGTCCCAGCTACTTGGGAGGCAGAGGCAGGAGACTCGCTTGAGCCCAGGAGTTGGAGGTTGCTGTGAGCTGTAATGCCATGGCACTCTACCCAGGGGGACAGCTTGAGGCTCTGTCTCAAAAAAAAAAAAAAAAAATGTTACTTCTTGGGGGAGGTCATTTCTGAACACCTTTCCAAAATAGCATGCCTCTGGTACTGTTTTCTTACCCATTTCACTTTCCTTTATAGTTCTTTTTTTTTTTTTTTTTTTTTTTTTGAGACAAACTCTCACTTTGTCATTCCAGGTAGAGATCTGGCATCATAGCTCACAGCAACCTCTAACTCAAATGCTCAAGCGATTCTCTTGCTTCAGCCTCCTGAGTAGCTGGGACTACAGGTGCCCACCACAATGCCCGGCTATTTTTTGTTGTTTGTTTAGCAGGCTCTGGGCCAGGTTTGAACCCCACCAGCCCTGGTATATGTGGCCTGCACCCTAACTGCTGAGCTATGGGCACTGAGCCTGAAGTTGATTATTTTAAAAGAATCTTAAATTTTTAGAATGGAAGTTGGGCGTGTTTAGCTCTTAACTTTCACCACTTTAACAGAAGTTAAATAAACATGTGCTATCTGACTCAGTGCCTCCAGCTCCCAGGCATTGATAATGTCTATGCGACTCTGTGGGGTTTTTGGTAAAATAAGCATGATATGTCTGAAACCCTTGAGGTCTTAGGAAGAAAAAAATATATAAAGATTGTCTGACTGTTCACCTCAAGCTCCTTGTAGAGGAGGAGACCTTCTTTGCACAAATGGATGTTCAACACATGCTTGCTAATTTAATTTAATGAGAGAAAAGGAGTCTGGAATAGCATATATAATGCAATGGAAAGATATTTCATAGACCTCCAATTCCTAACCTGGATCATAACATAGCCCAAATCTCAGATTTACATTTTCTAAAAGGCCTTAAGTACTTCATGGTAAAATGTTTTAAATGTCAGGCTTTGATCCACTAGATGTGAAATCAATTTAGTGGGCTATTATCAGCATTTAAAAGCAATGGGATGAAATTGAAGTGTCAGATTGTATCATAAATAATAAGAGTGTTTCCTGAAATTTTGATTTAACTATGTGTGTGTTCTGGGTCATGAAGTAAAATGTTTTTGTTAGGTAAGTTAAAAAACATTTTAAAAGTTGCTAATACAGGGTGGCGCCTGTGGCTCAAAGGGGTATGGCACTGGCCCCATATACCAGAGGGGGTGGGTTCAAACCCAGCCCCCGGCCAAAAAAGAAAAAAAGTTGCTAATCTAGTATAGTTATAGAAATTATAATTTACCCAAAGCTGTTTTCATTTTGCTTGATTTAAGAAGAAAAATAGGCTTGGCACCTGTGGCTCAAGCGGTTAAGGCACCAGCCACATACACCTGAGCTGGAGGGTTCGAATCCAGCCCAGGCCCACCAAACAACAATGACAGCTGCAACCAAAAATAGCCAGGCGTTGTGGCAGGCACCTGTAATCTCAGCTACTTAGGAGGCAGAGGCAGGAGAATCACTTGAGCCCAGGAGTTGGAGATTGTTGTGAGCTGTGATGCCATAGCACTCTACCCAGGGTGACAGCTTGAAACTCTGTCTCAAAAAAAAAAAAAAAAAAGAAGAAAAATAATGCGTGTAGAATTCCAGTTCGCTGCTAACAGCAAGGAGAAAAACAAAATTCTATACTAGAGGAGCCATATAGGACTTTTTTTTTTTAAGGTGGAGGAGGTAATTAGAAACTAGAATACACCTGCTTTCCTGATAAGTTCAAGTTACCTTCTGGGAGACTCTTAGATGTTTTTTATAGGCTTCTCCCGTCTCCTTACAATACAATTAATTGTTTCCTCATTCCTTATGAGAAACAAATAGGATTGTCAAATTATGACGATTAACTAATATTATTAAGTCACCCTAAGAACTGTGCACATTGTACTCTGAAGACCAATTACATGTGTTACTACAAAGGAATGAAAATTTGCGATGTTTTAAAATTCCAGTGATGAATCTCTCTTTTTAAATTATATTTACTTGGCTCGGTGCCCATAGCTCAGGGGTTAGGGCGCCAGGCTGGTGGGTTCAAACTCAGCCTGGGGCCTGCTGAACAACAATGGCAACTACAAAAAGAAAAAATAAATAACTGGGAATTGTGGGGGGGTGCCTGTTGTCCCAGCTACTTGGGAGGCTGAGGCAAAAGAATCACTTAAGCCCTAGAGTTTGAAGTTGCTGTGAGCTGTGATGCCACAACACTCTTTACAGAGGGCGACATAGTGAGACACTGTCTCAAAAAAAAAATTATATTTGTATACTTAATATACAAACTTAAAGAAAGCCTTCTCACTTATCTGCCTCAAATGAGCAATAGAGCTTTTAAATTTTTAGAACTTTTTAATTTTTTTTTGAGACACAGTCTCAAGCTGTCGCCCTGGGTAGAGTGCCATGGCGTCACTGCTCACAACAACCTCAAACTCTTGAACTTAAGTGATTCTTTTGCCTCAGCCTCCATGGTACCTGGGACTATAGGAGCCCGCCACCATGCCTGGTGATTTTTTTCGTTGCAGTTGTCGTTGTTTAGCTGACCTGGGCTGGGTTCAAACCCACCAGCCTTGGCGCATGTGGCTGGCACTGTAACCACTGTGCTATGGGTGCCAAGCCAGAACATTTTATTATTATGAAAATTTTCAAACATACAGCAAAATTGAAAGAATTTTAGTGAACACACATCAGATTATAACTTTTTATTATACTCCTTTAATCCATTTTTATGCTTTTTAAAACACATTACAGGTATCAGTATATTTCCCCCTAAATACTTTAGAATGCATA